ATAATATAATCAAAGTCGTTGGGTTCTGGGTGAATTGTGTGGGATGTGGCTTATTATGAGAAAGTATATTGACAGTGTGCTAGCTAGTCTGGATTGTCAGTTTATTGAGATTTAGAACCAGGATGGAAACATACCTCTAATTAAGTCTGTAAGGGAGTCTTTACATTAGGTTAATTGAGGTGGAAAGACAGCCCCCACCTGTGGACAGCAGCGCTCTACGGGAAGTCAAGTTCTAGGAGTTCAGTGGCAAGTCTCCAGGGAGGAAGAGAGCCCTCCCCACCAGAATAAATGGCGAATATCAGGTGGTTGTTGGTATACTGTTCTTTTGAAATGTATACACCTTACCCTTGTTCATTCAAATGCTTATTCTCCCCACCCACTCTCTGGTTTCAATCCGGATATTGCATTGTGATTTTTATTCTAAGCATCCTGTCTCAACTTTGTGTAAACAGGTCAAAATAAAGCAACTAGCCACAATGTTGAGTGATGGTATGAGCCAGAGGGGAGGAAATGAGTGGGAGGAGAAAGGGCGAGGGGAGAGCTAGGAAAGAGAGCTGGAGGACAGATCTTGGAAGGACGTGGAGAATGAATCAGACTTAAGATTTCACAAAAAGCAAGTACAATGGGTAAAATCTAAATGTTAGGAAACTATGAGGGCTTGGAGGTTTAAGAGGGAGTAACTATTGCCCAGCATTGTGTTCTGGGTTAACTAAATAAATTTAGTTTCTGTGTAGTGATTTGGTTATATAGCTGTTTAGGATTAACAGCAGCACTACTAAAAGATAATTAATATTAAATGCCTACAACAGCTGGTCATCGTGCAAAGCTGATGGTGTCATGCAGCACCTTTCTTTCATGTGAAATCAGGGCTTTATAAACCTTGGGCAGCGAGAGGGATTCTGAGGATGAGTGTGTTTAATTTACTGGGGCTGAAGATGCTAGTGAAACTTGATTTACATGTAGTGGTACAGTGCCTCACTTACGTGCAGTAGCACGGTCCTATCACAGTAAAGAGAACACAGTATTTAGTTACACCGTGGGTGGAAGAAAATCTCCAGGTACACTTGAAAGTCATTGGTTGAAACCCAAGACATGGTATTACATAGGGTAGGCAACTCCAGGAATCCTCCGGTGCTTGCTGAACAGGTTTCTTCTCAGGAAAAGGTCAGGCCTGTGGTCTTCTCTGAGGGCTATGTGACACTCCTTAGAGGTTTTTAGGGTTCAGAGAGGGTACCCCACTGAGAAAGGAAGTCCTTTGGAGCTCAGAGGCTATCTAGAAAATGCCAGACTTCAACTTCACCAGCAGAGCCCCACATTTTCACAGACCAGTGAGACCTACTATGAAACAGGCTTGTAGCATGACTCTAGGAGCTATCTGATCCTCTAATCCATGAGCCTCCCTTTGACTTCCGTCTCAGATATAGTTCAGCATCAGTACCACAACCCCACAGGGGCCTTAGGGTTTCCCTTGCTCTGCACACACTGATACTGGCAAGTACCTGCAGCCCCCTCTGTACAAGCCTAGGAATAGTGAGAGCATGTTACACTGTTATCACACGACTTTGCTTTCAGCAGGGTTCCTGACCTTAGTTTGCTCAAGGGGCCCTATGAACTGCCAGAGGTCTTGGAATCAGTTGAAGTGCTATGGCTCCCTGAAAATAGAGACCAATACCAGACTTCAGATTGCCAGATCTAGATTGATTGATGTTATAAGGATCAGTCTGCTGTTTATCAGGTGGATCATCGTTTTCATCTGTGCAACATCACGACCACTCATTTGGGTAACTCATTTGCCCCGATTCCTTAGCTAACTATTTTCTGTGCCACAGGGAGTATTTCCCACAGGCATCTCTGATATTCAGGTCAGAGGATGTCTACCTCTGTGCTTCCCAAGGATGCCAGGACCCAGCACTTACAAAGAGAAATGTGTTCCATAGCTTATATGAAAATAAAACAAATATTTTAAATTAATGAGTCGTAAATGAAAACTTAGCTATTTAGTAGCACTAGTCACATTTAAAAAACTATTTTTATTTTATCTTTGTGGGAGTTTTTCTTGCATGTATGTCTATGCAGTGCCCATGGAAGCCAAAAGAGGGTACCAGGTCCATTGAAACTGGAGTTACAGATGGTTGTAAGCTGCTGTGTGGGTGCTGAGAATTGAACCCAGATCCTCTGAAAGAGCAGCCAGTTCTCTTAGCTGCTGAGCCACCTCTTCAGCCCCTACACTAGCCACATTCTAAGAGCTAGCAGCTTCCACTATACCCATTACAGAAGAAGGCCCTGTTGGGGACCACTGGCCTCGATTGCATAACTAGACATGTAGACATTGTAGTTTTGGCAGTATTGTTGTTGTCAGAATTTGTAAGTTTAAGTATTGGTTGGTCAAAGCTAGTTTAGTTGTTTAGCAGTGGTCAGGGAGATGGAAAGAAGGGGTGTGAAACAGGAAGAAGAAAGTCTTGGTAAAAAGTTGTGAATTATGCTGAGTGTTTCCTTTTTATAATTTGATAAAATGTGGGAGAAAGCAGCTTTGACCATCTGCTGCCCGAGAACAGTAGCCTGGACTGAAACCCAATCCTCACAGGCTGAGGAGGTCAAGGGAAGTGGAAGGTGCAAGCTATCTCTAAATAGATGTACAGACTTTTCGTTGGGGATTAAAGGACAGAACCAAGATAATGACTTCAGGGCGTATCAGCGCCATCATGGACCATTCTTGTGCTTGGGGCTGGAATGTTTCTTTCTCGTTTTTGTCATGGTTATGAATAGGTCTGAGGATGTCTGAAAGATAAAGATAGGCACCCCAATAATGAAGACCTATGGTTAAAGAGGAGAATGTTGGAGTTAGATATTTTCTCTTGCTTTAACAAAAACACCTGAGAGTCATTAATAGAGGATTATTCATCTCATGGCTCTGGAGACTTGAAAGCCTAAGGGCATGGTACTAATTATTTGGTTGGACATTGTAACATGGTGGAGAGAATCATACACTGAGCAATGCAATGGTACCAGTTAAGGTCTCTCTCTCTCTCTCTTCTTGCTTGTTAAGCTGCTAATATCATGGGGAGGGCACTCGTATCTCATCAACTTCTAATTTACCTCCCCAAAGTCCTATCTTTAACATACAAATCTGAGATTTTTCCAACATGGACAAAGTCGTCGCAGGAAAAGAACATCTTACTGACCCCACATGTGGCAACAGAGGCAGGCCTCTCCTTGATGGGGGGAGATGAGGAGGATGGCAAACCTAGATCGTATGAGTGGAGGAGGTGAGAGGATTGAGAAGCACACTCGTGATGGGTTGTGGTTTCTCTGTAAATTTGGAGGAACAGCTAACTACACTGTGTGGAAGAAAGGGATATGCTTAGAATTTTTTAAAAGATTTACAGTGAATGTAAAAAGGACTAAAGACTCATGTGGGGGAACAATGAAAAAATTATATGCAATTCTACCAAATGGTCTCTTTCCAACAAAGTTGATTATGTCATATTCATGTACAAAGTTATTGACTCGTGACTTCTCTATGCATGTGTAGCGCATATATGTGATACATTTGTATCACATACCATGATTGTAGTCACCCTCACTTCTCTTCTCATCTAATGAACTTCCTCACTGTGAAACACAGTGAACCAAATGTTGATAATGAAATGTATACACAGGAAGCAAGGCAGAGAAGGCTATCTGAGCTATCAGATGTGTTACACATCTGAACGACACCACCAGTCCTCCTGCTAATCTCAGAGTAACAAGACATGATGGCCCCTATTTTACAGGGGAGCGGATGCAGAGAGAAGTGAAGGTGGAGTTGAATGCTTGTGGAACTACCTGCATGGTTGTTCACCTTTGCTGTTTCTTTCCGAAAGCCTCATACTCCTGTTGGAGAGTAGGGATTGAGCTTTCTGCTTTGTAAAATTATTAAGAACATTAAGTGAAATAATCTGTGAGGAAGAACCTAATACATGCCAGGAATCTTAGTGGTTTTAAGAGAGAGGCATGAGTCGGGGTCTTGCTACATGGCCCAAACTGGCCTCGAGCTTATGATTCTCTTGCTTCTGTTCCTCAAGGTTAGGAGTATAGGTGTGCACCACCATACCAGTTAGGATGCTTGATTTTGGTTAAAAACTCATAGAATATGACTTGTTGATTCTGCCATTTGATTGAAAGCCATTGTGATTTGAGTTTTAATCTGTCTCTTCAAAGCTAGATAAGTCTTGAGCTCCAGATGGAAAGATTCTAGGACCTTCCACCAGGCAGGAGCCATACTGCGAAATATCCCTGGTGTTTAAAACAGGTGTTTTAAAAAGAAGTTAACAGTACAGCAGAGACAGTGTCCTAAATGGGAATCAAAGAAGTTGACAGTCAACATTCTGTGGGGTAAAGAAGCTTCACCCCTACACACCTTGCCAGTGTGACTTCCCTGAGGACTGTCATTTTAAGAGTCTACGAGACTTTAAAGACTAAATGAGTCTGTCTGCTTCCTGCTTGCTGTGTGATTTCGGAAAAGTCACTTTGTCTTCTGGTATCTTGAAGAGAAATGAAACAATAGCCTGCATTTCACAGAAGGTGCTAAGACCGACTGAAGAAAGTGTGTCATGTTCTGAGTGATGCCTAGAGTCAGCCTTTTGTGGAACATTAAACATTTCACTCGTATGGGCTATGGCAAGGGCTATGGCAAGATGACAAGGCAGAAGATTACGGGACCTGGGGAAGTCTCCTTTAGCAAGACTTCGGAGCATGTCTGAAGACATTGATTAATGATACCTCTTGTCCCCTGAGGGTGGCAGAGCAGGAGCACAGGCATGCCAAGAGATAGGAACCCAAGGGAAGGGAGACCTAGGCCATCAGGGAACGGCAGGAGATCAGACTTGAACAATCTCCTCAGTGTCCCAGGGTCACTCCAGATATCTCCCCAAAGGCTTTAAATGACTTTTCCAGACCGAAGCTGGGAATCATGAAGCTTCCCTGATCCAAAGACACACGCATTGTCTCACTGCTGTTGGAATCACTGCTCATGTTTATTGGAAAAGCAGAACACAATGCTACCATATGCTGTGGCTGCCACAGTTCTCCAAACCCTGGCTGTCACCTCTGAGCTTGCCATCCTCTTGGGAGGTAAGGAAACTGCTTCAATTAAAAGTCCCCAGGGAGAATTAACGAGAGGGCACACCTGTGTAGCACATCACTGCTAAAGGGGCTGAGGGGGGAGGGTGGGAGAAGACTGGTCCCAGAGTAGAAGTTCCCATCATGCCCAGTGCAGCCAAGGGCACAAGTTTGCTCCCACACCACCGATACTCATGCAATACACGATACTTCTCATAGAGGTGCCTGGACTTCCTAAAGCAGAAAGGAAGCCGTGTGACAGTAAAGGACACTTCATCAGCCTCGTGTGTCTGGAGTGGGCTCTGAGTGGTTGACACTGTAGGGCAAAAGAATTCTTTCTGTTGGCGGGACAGCATGGGAGGGCATTAGGTCTGGAGGGCCATCATCAGAACAGACGCCTCCCCTTCCCCCCCAGCTGACTTCCTAGTAACCTTGCCAGCACCTGGTCAAACTTGGCCCCGGTAAGGACAGCGAGAGCACTCCTACTGAACCGCCTTGAAGTTTGCTTTCCAAAGAAAGCCTTCTGTTAAGGAACTGATAAAAAGAAAGTGCACTCTTAGGCAAATATTTCTCTCAGGGTATGCACAGGCCTTTTGTGGGGAACCTGGGAAGGGAGCATGAGTGTGTTTCCAGGGAAAGGGTTTGGTAGTTGCACAGAAGCTTGGGTTAGACAATCTGAACAAAGCCCTTTGGGAGCCAGTGTGGGAAGATGAATCCCAGCAGGCAGCGAGATGGATTTGCAGAGTAGACCATGTCAGTGTGTTGGGGTGACTGACCTTGAACTCAAATTCACGGCATGCTCAGCAAACAGGAAGTTAAGACTCCACAATGGCTGAGCTAAATTCCACCCTGGGAGTTTGAGTGATGAGACATGGTGTGTCCATAAAAGCAGCTACTCTGTAGATTAAGGCAGCCTGTAGGAGCTGGGGTTGGAAAACTGACATAATTTATCTTTACCAGCTGCCTCAGCTCCCTGCTCGGCACCCGTGCCCGTGATGAACACATTAAGTCTTAACAAGCTTAACAAGGTGCTCTGAGAGGGCACCTGCTTCTTAAAACATGGGTAAAAGCAGCAGAACATTCCAGAAGGTTTTAGAACAGTGGTTCTTCGGAATGCATGCTTGTGCCTGCTCTGGCTGCTGAGACTCAACTGACTCTCTTCTAAAGTAATAGCACAGTCCCGTGATATCTCCGTGTATATTGAGGTTCTAGAATGTTCTCTCCCCAATGAAGGAACTCTAGAGGCTGAGGGCCAGATCCAAGATGGCCCAGAACTTGGGGATCCTGCTGCCTCTGGATTTTAAGGCATTTGCTTGGCGCCAGGACAGACAGGAGGCATGCTGCATGTGGGGTCTGAAGCTGAGTGGCCAGTAAGGCCAGCACCCAGTGGGAAAGAATGCAAGACTTACCACCGTACCCAGTTAGACTCTACCAAATGCCTAGCGGATATCTCCTATAGGGTTTGAAATAAGTGCGCGGAGAGAACCCGCTTTTATTCGGGACGGGTAAGGCAGGCCTGCACCTGCTACCCCTGCCGATAGGGGGCGCGCGCGGACTCCCGGCCCAGGGCGTTGATGTGCTGCTGAGCACCTGTGCCCGCCAGCTTCTCATTGAGTTTCTGGTTCACCAGCTCCAGGTGGCGGCTGTTCTTCCGCGCCTGCCTCAGAGACCTCTTGACCTTCTTCACCCGCTCTCGGAGCTGCCTGTTCCGCTTCTCCAGGGTGGCCACCTTCTGCTGCAGCTTCTTGACGTGGTCCTCCTCCTCAAACAGGGCCTTCTGCACCGAGGAGCACATGAGCTGAGGACAGAAACGCCACAAAGGGAGAAGCGGGTGAGTCTCAGAAAGTGTTCTGCCTCCAAGCAATATCCCCAGCCCTCTTCACATATAGACTGTCAGAGTCAGGATGTGGGCAACAGGACTCTACGGGGACAGTGTGTAGACCCCCATAAGGCAGTTAGAGGCTGTCAAAAGAAAAACTGTGTATCCTTTGGCCTAGTAATTCTGAGACTTCATCTCACAGAAATACATTCACATGTGCAAATTGCCAAGGATACAAGCGTAATCCAGCACTGTCTGGGCATTGAGGATTAAACCCGTTGGTCTCAGAACATGCTAAACATGTGTTTGGCCACTGAGCTATTTCCCATCATTTGTTACTTTAAAAGAGGGGAGCAGAGTGAAGCCATCCCGCCATCCCAGCCCTTGGGAGACTGAAACAGGAGGATTGCCATCAGTTTGAGGCAAGACTGGGCTAAACAAGACTGTCTCCAAAATGTGATTTTTAAAATGTAAAACCAAAAGCTTTTTTTAAAGGGTTGAAAACATCTTTAAAATGTCCATCACAAGAGACATTGTTCAAAACCACAGTAGGGCTGAGAGTGCAGCTCAGTGGTAGAGATTTTCCTACTAAGCACAAGACACCCAGCTTGACTCCCAGCATCATGAAAAAGAACAAGAAAGTGAATCATAATATGATGAAAACAGCTTTTTCTTGTGTCTCTGAGGGAATTATGCAGCTCCACAGGACCATTGCTGAAGCAAGGTGCAGGTCATGGTGTTAATTGAGAAAGCACAGTGCAGGATGACATGGACATTGTGATACGAGGGCTGAAGAACCTGATCTCCGTGTGTACCTGTGCTTACACACGGGTATGTCCTCTCTGGGGGGCACCTGGAGACGGTAGCTGTATCCCAGGAGCAGAGGGGGCAGGAGTGTGGGAGAGTGAGCTCTTGCTTTCTGGGTACTCCTTGGGTCTTGTGCTCTAAGCTAAGTTCCCCTTTCCCATGGGAATTTGAGGTCTCCCCACCACCGCACAGTGTCTGCCCCCGAGTTGGCCGTTATGAAGAGCTGTGCTATCGAACAAAGGCCTGAGCATTGCTGTGCTCTGCTCAGAAATGGAGCCTTCTGTATCTGCAGGACCTGTGCCTGTGAGTTCCTCCTCATCAGACTCGACCAACTGAGTATCAAAAGAAAAAAAAAAAATCCTGAAAGTTCTCAAAAGCAAACTTTGCACTGGCAGGCTAAGAAGTACCCTGAACCCACACGGAAGGGGTTTAAGCTTTGCCATCCTGACACGTCTCTTAGACGCTTAGTATGTCTTTAACACCCGTCAAGTAGGATGTATTCCATGTGCTTCATTTGTGTACTTTCTAGGGAGACGAGCAGTGGGGGCACCTACACTGGCCATTTATAGACTGTTCTCCTGTTATCCAGAAACTGTTCATGTGTGTTGTGTTAGGTAACCCACACAGCCCACAGGTGGCTCTAGGCAAATACTGTGCCATCTCACACCAAACACAGGGAGCTCGAGCATCTGCAGATTTGGGTATCTGAGGAAGGATCCCAGGACACACACGCTGAGGAGATGGTGCTCATCTAACCCCAGCGCCTGCACCGCAGTACAGCGATACAGTTAAATGCATGGTCAGTCTTCAGGCCAGCTGCCCTCGTTTCTCACCTGCCTTTTCTGCTTCTAAGTGTTCTCACTTCAGGCAGACGTCTTAGACTCAGGGTAGTGGACTCTTCCTTGCATCAGCCACACTGGCTTCAGAACCGGAGGGTCTGTTCCCAGCTCTTTGGTGTGGTAGAAGTTTTGGTTTCTTTAAAAACTCAGTTGTGGGGGCCGGAAAGATGGCTCAGCAGTGAAGAGCGTTTTTTCAAAAGACCCGGGTTTAAATCCCAGCACCCACATGGCAGCTCACAACTGTCTATAACTCCAAGATCAGACAACCTCACACAGAGATGCATGCAGACAAAATAGCAATGCACAATACATACATACATACATGCTAAAGAAACTCAGTTGTGTTATGTAACCAGGTGTTTGTTTTAATCCCAAGTGTGGGATATGGAGCTGCTTTTGGTTTGTCCACAGCTGATAATTGCCTTGAGGGGCGTGGTCTTTGCCAGCTGGAGTTAGTGGAATTCTGAGGACTCTGAGAGAGTAGTAAATATGAGAGCCCAGGGAGAGAAAGAGAGCAAGGGTTTGAAGGAGATGGACGGAGGAGAAAGAAGGCTGCTGTTTGTTCCGCTGCCACCATTTGCTGTTGCTGGACTGCTAGATATCCTGACAACTAAGATTGGCATTTTCCCAAAGAACCCGATGACCCTAACCTAGCCAGAACTAAGAGGTCTACCTGCCCCTTTCCTTCTAACCTTCTTTCTCTCCTACCTAGGGTTGGAGGATCAGAAGGGAGGTAGAGGCTTTAGGAATCTCAAATAAAGTAGAGTATAAAAATAGTGCCTAGGGGCACTAGAGATGGCTCAGCAGTTAAGAGAACTGACTGCTCTTCCAGAGGACCTGAGTTAAATTCCCAGCGCCCATATGGCAGCTCACAACTGTCTGTAACTCCAAGATCTGACGCTCTCACATAGACAAACACTCAGACAAAACACCCATGCACATAAAATAAAAATAAACTATTTTTACAAACCCAAAACTAGTGCTTAAACTTTGGAGTGTTACAAGTGGACAATCCTCAGCTGATTTTCCAGAACCTGCCTTGGTTTACCTCCCCTTGACATTCAGAGTTAATGAGTAGGCATGGTGCAGGGTTAGGAAACCGGGCCCCTCGTTCTACCTGGGAACATCTCTGAAGGGATATCTCAGCCTCACAGTGTCCTGTGAACTAGAATAGGGCCCCAGCGAGCTGGAGTTTCCAATGGTCTCACCGTTTGTTTGACCGGTCCTGCAGCATCTCTTGCCCTCCTGTCCCCAGGTTTGCCCCTAATGCCAGGAGCATTCTCTGAAAATACTCCCACACATATCTCTCCTTTCACGGTCTCCTTTTCAGGAAGCCTGACTAGCTGCATACTGTTTCTTTACATGTACCATAAGATTAATCATGGGGCTGGAAGATTTAGAGAGTCTTATCTAGAAAGTTCCTAGACTCGTGCTGGTACCTGTTAAAGTTCATTGTCAGCCAGTAATCCAAAATACAGTGAAGTGTTTTAAAACCAGAGCTTTGTGGACAGATCCACCTACTTACCTCCATTCTTGCTCACAGTTTGTGTACCTCAAGCTTGACCACAAACTGTGCTGGCTCCGGGTTCTTCCACCAGCACATTCTGCTTCCCGTCTCAGCCTGTGCCATGGCCTCTCTTCTATTATAGCACCATTCTCCCTCTGGACTTTTTTCTTTAAAGACAAGTCTCATGTAGACCCAATCTGGCTTCAGATTTGCCATATAGCCCAGGCTAGCCTCGAATTCCTGATTTTCCTGCCTCCGTGCCCGAGTGCTCAGATTCTAAGCATGTGCCATTAGACCTAGGTGGCTGGCAAGCTCATAAGCCCTCTGTGTGCCCACTTTCATGCTGCCACCTATACCATGTTCTCTCCTCTAGGCTATCACACTAGGGATAATGAGTCTCAACGCCCTTGGCAATTCACCAGTTCTTCAAGACCTAGCTCAACATTGGCCTTTCTTTGGGTTACTGTTTCCTAGCAATTTTGGACATATGAAAAAAGAAATTGAGCCAGTGTTCCGAAACTGTCATTTAATACTTCTGGGCTCCTGGGAAGACCACATATGCAATACTGCCCTCTTCTGGCCAAAATGACAGCAGCCCCCCCCCCCCCACACACACACATACACAAAGAAGGAACCTCCTTGAGGAGCTCATATTATTTCTAGCATATATGTGTGCGTGAATAAGACCTATGTATTTTTAAATTCCATACGCTAAGTAGCTAGGATACTCTCCTTATATTGTGGTCTGCGTATGCATTATGGTAGACTCTTCAAGAACAGGATAAAAGGAGATAAACAAGGTCTACCAAAACAAGAGACCCAGGTCTATTAGTATGTGCTAGGCTATCACCTCAAAGAGGATTTGAAGGGATTGCGAGGCATGAACAATCACCATGAACAAAGCTTTTCTGAAGTTACCAACATTCCTGGACCAAAGGGCAATGAACACCTTATTCTAGGGACCCCACTGCAGGAAGAGCTACTGCTCTAGCAAAGACAACACAGCCAGCCAAGAATGCCCCGAGAATGACCTGAAGAAGCCACGGTGAGTCTGAGAGACATCGAGCTGACTTGGGATGGTGGTGTAGTGATGAGAGAAATAAATCCCAAAGCAAGGTTAAATGTGTTTCTCAGTGGGTGTATCATCTGGTGGTCCCCATGGCTTCTCCTTCCCCCGACAGGAACAAAGAAAGATATTAAAGGACTCATGGAACTTGTACTATGGCATCAGTAGCAAAGCTATAACCCAAGACTACTATCACACAGGTCTCTCCTCTTCAACCAAGATGCCATGTGCACTGATACAATACCATGACATAATGAAGTTGCTGCCCATAAAACCTAAGTGGGCCTCCTAGATTCTAACCAACACCGCTCCCCAAAAAGTGAGGATTCCTAGAGTAGAACTATGCTTTTTAAATACGTTTCTTTAAGAAACTCCTATTTGGGGAATGCTTTCCAAATGAACTCTATCTCTTAAATTTTTTAAAACAAAACAAGCCATGCTATTTGCTGATTTAGCTTTGAGGTATTTTTCAGTAATTTGAGCTGCAGAGGGGAAAGGCTAGGCCAGGCTGCAGCAGGTACTACCCATTCTCTTTGAAGAAGAACCAAAGAGGGGGGAGAATCTTGGAAAGGAGCCCTGAAGACAGATTACCAGCTCATCCTTGCAGAACCCTTGCCCTCTCCCCAGGCTAACCTAGCTTCTAAGCGCCTCCATTTTGCCTGTAGCAGAATTTTATCTGGAAGTTTTCACATGGCTGAGGGAATGCCTGCTTTGGGGCACACATGGGCACACTGCCATGAGGTGGGGAGTGCTTTCTGTT